TTTAAGCCTAGCCTTAAAAGTAGACGGGGTTTCAGGGACTAACAGGAATCCAGAGAAGGGAAGTTAAAGAGGTGACCTCTCTTTTTAATTGCTTAGATGATTTAAATATATGACCCCTTTGGTGTTTTCTTCTCGCTCTCTGTGTCTCCCAGGTCTTCGTTGATTCGCTACAACAGCAGCACCCTCCCCACCCTCTCCTCTTCCTCGCTCCTCCTTCATCAGAGCTCCAAGTCTTCAGAGAGCGACCTGTCCACGTCCACGCTCCCTAACATCTCCTCCTCGTCCCACATGTTGTCCAAACTGACCCTCTCTCAGCTGGACGTGGGTCGCGTCCAGAACTTCACCGCCACCGGCAGCGACAACCCCTCCTCCCCCTCCGCTGCTCCCTCTGCTCCTGCGCCATGCCAGCAGATGCCTCAGACTTCGCACGCCGTGATGCCATCTAGAGACGTTCCGCCGTGTGGCTTTAACGGGTGTCCGGCAAACCACGGGCTGACCTCCTCGTCCTCCAGAGGAGGCGGAGGTCTGGTTCTACCTCTTGGTGCAGGGTCACCGGGTTCAGCACATGGAGGAGAGCTGGTTCCTGTGGCGCTCAGACACAGTGAGAGCGGCGGGCTGGGGTTCAGCGTGACGGCGGGAGGACAGGGCGGGCAGCAGGCGGTGGTGAAGCGGGTGTGGGATCGGAGGCAGTGTCCCTCGCTGCAGGCTGGAGATCTGATTGTAAAGATCAACGGAGCCGATGTGCAGAGCCTCAGCTTCACTCAGGTGAGCGAGAACGGCGGTTCAGTTCAGGTGTGACTTGGTTTAAACGCAGATCCTGAATGTCCTTCATTAAACGCGATAAAACGTTCTAAAGTGCAGAAGAAGATCTGAGGAGCCGCAGCCAGGTGGGATGAACGGTCAGCGTTACTTTATGCGCCTCTACGAAAAAACCCTTTGATCCTGATAAAAATAAGGTCATAACCACCAGCTGTCCGCCCTCATGGTGTTTACATCCATAATAGAAATCCAGCACCGATGCAATGAGCGGACAAAATAAATAAATGGCGCCATCTACTGGCAGCACTCTATAGCAGTAAATGCAAATAAAACAAATGTCCGATCAGCAAGAAATAATCAACGGATC